TTTCAATCTAAGAGGTTTCAGGTTGAGTGGGGGCTTCCACGGCTGGTGTAATCACAGGACTCTCACATTCTATATCTGCAGTTTTAATTTTCAGCAGAGTTTTCCAGCGGTCAGCTCGTATTTTTACCGGCACAACCCTTTGAGCCTCAGCGTATGATCATTCCATTGTTTTGAAGGACTCCAGGTGCCTGCTCAATGCTGGCCCGGCCCAGGACAGGACCTCCCTCCGTTTAGGGTCCAAGGCAAACAGCAGGGCGAAGCGGACGTTCCCTTGTTGATAGCACAAAGGGGAGGCGGCATGCGAGCAGCCAGCCCTGAACGACCAGGGTTTTCTTCTCAGCTCCACGTATCCAGCTCCAAACCAGGTTCGGGCTTCACGGCTCTCGATCTCATCAGCCTCCAAGATGTCTCAGCAGGCCTCTCCGGCCTCCTTTAGCATTCACAGCGCTAATTCTGAAGGTGGTTACTTTGCCACCTGCTCTCCAGTCCGGGCGAACAACAAACTCTGTTATCCTCAGTGGGAGACAAGGGGGGTGTCTCTAGACTATTCTTTCTGGCCCCTTCCTTTCTTGTGGCCTCATCACACTATCCAGTCACCTCCAGTCCTCCGTAGTCCAGGTGTGTTCTCCTTCTGGTGAGTGCAGTGGTGTGGTGTGGTCTGCTGACTCTTTGAATGACTGGATGTGCCTGGCCCACATCTGCCAGGGATACAGGAAGTGGTTTTAGTGTCTTTAAACACATTGATGATGTGCTTTCTCTGTATAATTAAGGTTTTATAGTCTCAATTTGAAATGCTAAAGTGTAATTTGGGCTAAGGAGGAAAATGTGTATGCCCCTGCAAACTCTTGTTGGCAACCTTTGCTTTTACTTACAGGCAATAAACTTGTGGTTCATGACAGGCATTGGATCGGCTCCACTGGGCCTCTCCATATTCCGAGCATGGTTTTTCTCCGCCAGAACACGGAACTCGATACTCAGATGCCCCTCAATGGAGCCGGCGTCAACTTGGTTAGGCTCATCTCGGACGAATGGCTTCTGACGCCCTGACCCATCTCATGCCCTTCTTCTCCTTCTTCTCCACATGGAAAGTATTACCTATATGATAAAATATCATTCCTCCATCTCAGGCCGGGCCTCCTCCAGGTCACAGTGGCTGAATGTCCATCCACGTTGCAACCTCCGGTTTTAGATGGTGCGACCGAGGGAGGACCTACACGCAGGAGAAAGATTAATACATTCAGGGAATCTGAGTGTACATTAGAAAGGTTTCGAAATGTAATGCTTTAAATGAGGCTTCATGTTATGATGATTAAATACAAGTTATTGCATACATTTCCTGTACATTAAATGTGAGTGTTGAATAAAGCCAGGTTCAAAATTTGTTTACCAGAGGGGGATTTTGGATATATTTATGTATCATAAGATAAGATAAGATATACTTATGGTACAAAACGATTTTAAAAAAGAATTCACTCCAAATAATCATAGAAAACACAGGCAATACAAAAATTGCATGTTGTCCACATGAACGTACTCGAATTCTGTCGACCATCCTCTGACGGCCTCGGAGTGAGACGGATCACTGGCTCCGTACTTGGTTCACGGCGGACACTTTTGAAGAAGTAGTCGTTGCCCCTGGATGAGCTTGTTTGGCCACAGTAGTGACAGTCAGGACCTTCTCTCCAGGGATGGTCCACAGCAGGCGGCTGGTCTCCTCTTCTCGAGGGTGTGTACGTACTTGGATGGCGAGCCTCCGTCCGTGGGTGGGGGCCGTCCAGGGTGAGAGTGACCCTTCTCAGAGGAAATGCCGGCTGCACTCGATGGGCCCGCAGGAAACTGCAGTGAACATCCAGACGTTTGACCTTCACCGTCTCCTCCGTTCACTCCGAAGGGGGGTTGCTGGCGGTGATGATGTAGTCTCCGGAGTCATTCCTGCTGGCGTACTTCACGGACAGCGTAGAGGAAGAGGCAGGTGGTCTCAATGTTAACGCAGGTCCGAGGGTTTGAAATTACTTTCCTCCCTTGGAACCAGCAGGAGTGGGCGCAGGTTTGCCTATAATGGCTGGTGGCAGTGACCACGATGGTGTCTCCAGCCCTGACGTGTGACCCTCCATCACATGAGAGTCAATGATGATGGGTCCGTGGGCAGCTGTTGGACCATGAGGATAAACTTAATTCATCATGCAGATTAAATTACAGCGTATTTGGATTAAAGATATCTGTGTGGGTAGTTTTAAAAATGCCCGATCATCTGGGAACCATATCGGCAAATACTCTTTCTCTTAGTTTTTGTTAAAGCAGC